TCCTAAAAATCTAGTGGTTTAAATAGATTCTTTTGGAATCTTGAAAACCACACGGTTAGCATCCGTACTGACTAGGAAGCCGCCAAGAAAGGCTCACTTGTTTCATTTACTCATTGTAACTATTAAAGTACGCAGACGGCCGATTCTGCAGAAATACTATTATAGTATTAAAAGTCGTGGATCCATGAGATGCGTTTTTGGGTTGTTATTGATAGCCACGTGCTGTGCATAGGTGGGTTGGATGAATTATTATAGTGTAACTGTGATATGGGGAACATGGAAATAGATGATGTAGTTTTTCCCCCAAATGATATACCACATCACTGATCAGTATTTTGTGAATTCATGTAGGACATTGATTTTAATGCAGGACCCTGTCATGTAAAGATCATTTTGCACTTTCAAAGTCCACCATGTAACTATATACATCAGTAATTACATAATAACACTTGTTATCTCACATATTAAACTAATTTTCAGTTCTTCCTAGATTTTAAAAAAGTTGAAATTTTTGTATATTATACGTTTGCATGAATACACGTATGTATATGTAAATAACATGTCTATATTCTGATATTTTAACAGTTACTATGTGGTGTCTACATCTTGTTGTATCTGTAACCTTGCTCCTTCAATGACATAATGGAAAGTACTACTGTATTCCATTCTTTCTACCTCTCAAAATGAATCATGGTGTCCATCCTGGAAAATAACAGAATCACACCCTTCCTTAAAACCATTCTAACACCTTGAGTTTCCTGAGACAGATTATGTAGTCCTTGGAGCTTTGTTGCAGCTGTAGAGCTGTTGGGTGATTTAAAATTTTCACAGTTTTCTTTCAATTTTCCATAATCTCACTCTTCATGTGACTCTTGCAAATTGAACTGTCTCAATTCTGTCTGGTTTGCAAGATCATGATTGATGAGGCTAATGTGGGGGAAGAGGTGATTGCATATTTGGAGCGCTTGGATTGTCGGCGCTCAAAGAATGTGGCATAACTTTTGCATACGGTGTCCGTTTTGGGCCCATAACCCCATTTCAGAAAGCTCGCGACGATTCTGATTGAACTCACCACTTCACCATGACGTATGATGGATTTTGG